TTTTTTTTTCTTTCAAAAAGAGATAGTAGATTTCTAAAGGCACTATGTTCAATATGGTTTAACAGATGAAGACATTTCATGGGATCCTAATGGATCAAGAGATAGTCCATTCAATGAGTCCATACCTGGTTAAAAGCTGGGTGCCAGACAATCAAGTCTTCATCAATAAATAATTCTTTCCCTCTTGGAGCACTGGGATCTAACTGTCCAACTCTAACTCTCTGAAGGGATCTGTTTGGAAAAGTGATCAAATTGATGATGTCGAATCCACCTGTTGCTTCCCGTTTCTGATTCAGGAAGACTCTCTCTCCAGCTGAATTGTTAAAAGAAATGCCTTGGAGAAACGGATGGAGCTACTTGAAAGAGAATGAGAGAAAGAGGGAGTTGAAAGGATAATAATGGAGAAGGGAACAGTATATTTAAGTTTCCTTCATTCATTTTTCCCATTCCTATAACAAATATCAAATACTGCCCCCTAAAAAATTGATCATCTGTATTGCATGGAAAAGTACAGGTCTATGCCATTATTAATTTGATATGATTTCCAGGAGAGATGAGAACCAATGTCAATTAATAAAGGCAAAATGAAAACAGGCTATTGAAATTATATAACTTCCTTCAATTATAATTTAGATTCACTATTTAAACAACTAATTAAATCTAGACCTTACATAATATTATTCTCCACTGTTCCTTGTCACTTGGCACAAAGCTAATTGAGAGCCTGAGACCTGACACATTACCTTTTGCCAGATTTTAGCATCTGAGACTCAAGCATTCTTTGATAGAAACAGAGAGAGACAGAGACAGAGACAGAGACAGAGAGACACAGCAAGACAGAGAGAGAGAGAGAGAGGTGATAGATACTATTTCTATCTAAATATCCAATTCTAACTCTCTGAAAGGATCTGTTTGGAAAAGTGATTTTGTTGATAAAGCCACCTTTACTTTCTCCTTTTTTTAAAAAAAAAAAGAATACTCTTTTTCCAGCTGAGTTGTTAAAAGAAATCCCTTGAAGAAACTTGTGGAAGAGGGAGTTGAAAGGATAATAATGGGGAAGGGAACAGCATATTTAAGTTTCCTTTATTCATTTTTCATCAGGAATCAGGATCAGAAAGAGGGAGTCAAAATTAAAAGAAGGCATCAGGGCTAAAAGAATTAAAGTTTCCCTTTCTTTACTTCTACTTCCTAGGAAACCAAAGAACATTTCCTGGCTTGAAATATGGAAGAAAAAAGGTTGACTCACAAAGAACTATCAAGAATTAAGATAGACAAATCACATTTATTTCATTAATTAATGATTAGAAGTATTTTAAAGCATCAAGCTCAGCAATTTGCCTGGTAGTTTACCATAACTATAAAAACCAACATCACTTTATGAAAATAATACACCTGTGCTACCAAAGAACAACTGACATCAACCTTAAATCCCCAATCTAACAACCCTGTCTTGATTAAATTGCCAAAATAATAAGAAAGGTGAAATGCCCACATTTCAGAAAGGCATGTGGAGCACAAAGCAAAGAAAGGCTATCTTCAGACATCTTGCCATTGAATTCTTCTTGGAACCAGGTTGGATGAATTTACAAGACAAGCCAATTCTAGGTGGAGATGAAATTGTTCTTTATGGATCCAAGGTGATAGAAAACTCTCACTGACTACACTGAAATTTGCGAAGGCATAGTTTATTTTCATCCTCTTTTATTCTATAACTACATAAGACCTCTTACACTACTAATTTTGTTGCCTCAGTATCTATATTGATATGTGGCCATAGGCCAGGTCAAACAAACCCTATTAACACATGGATGAGAATGACTATTCACTGAAACAAAAGATGAGTACAGCATGAAGAGATTACCTGCCAAGGCTGCAGATCCGGAAATTCAAATCTTGGAATTTCTCTCTGTTTGGATCTTGATCTCACTGTCTGTTGCAAAGAATGTGCCACTGTATAAACAGCATTGTAAATACTGTAGCTGTGGCCAATCATCTGCAATTCAAACAGAGGCCCAGGCAAAGCCTCCAAATTCTCTTCTCCATTACAGGTTTCATTGATCATTGAGGGTGACTCTGCATTTGGAAATGAACAGTCGAACAGTTGTTCCCAAACATCTTGAAGAAATCCATCTTTGTGGGTTGAAGGTTTGATGACTTGAAGATATTCTCTGAACCCTTGAACTTCTCTTGAATGAACTGAAAAGGAAAGAGCCCCATGGAACATCTGCAGATCCCAATTCCTTTGAATTCCTGTCAGTATGAAATCAATTGGGTTCATCAGGATCCAAACCTTTCTGAATGATGCACTTTCTTTATTTTCAGGATCACGTAGAAACACAACGCTTCTGAGCCACACAATTGTGAATGATTCTCCATAGACAAGAAAAGCATTTGATTTCTGATCTATCAATTTATTAGAAATGCTTGAGATTACATCAAACAATTCTGGCAAGTCTTCCAAGTGGGCACGTTGTGACAGTTTTTGTGTGAAAGCTAAACAGATGCCATTCTGGGAAAGCAATGGCTGCAGTTTTGGCAAGAAATGTTCTCCGTAATTATCAGTAGCAAAGACTCCAATCCACTTCCACCCAAAACGGAGAAGAAGTTGTATTACTCCAATGTACTGATGGTCCTCATTTGGGACCATGCAGTAAAGTGAAGATAACTTAGTAGTCTGAAACTCTTCTTGGGCAAAAGAGCCATAGATCAACTAAACAAAACCAAAGAAAACAACAACAGCAATAACAAAAGCAGAGTCATTATTTATGAGAATCAAAATATGGAAAAATGACTGCTGGATGGAAACTGAATGAAGGTGTCCCTACACTGAAATTTCCTCCAATTCAAGGTACACTATGGCAGTGTTGATGAACAGTCTAAGCAACTAAACCCCCAAGCAAAAATATTTTCTCACCTGTGGAATGTAACTGGATGACAAACCAAAATTTGCCTCCTAATATAGAGTTCCAGAATGCTCATCACCATGAACAGCTGGAAAGCTGCTAACTGTCTGAGCATCTGAACTCTTCCCAGCCTAAAGAAAGAATTCTTCAGAGCTAGACCTATTGGATTACATTCCTCTCTTCTCTATGGCAGATGGAATAAAATACCTATCCATGAAAGACTATCTCCATGAGATTCTGGAGAAATAGAAACAGTCAGGCATGTCCTCCTTTACTGCAATTATTATAGAGATCTCCAAAAGGACCATATAGCACCAATCCTCCAACTATCACAGTCAAAACAGTTGAGTTTTATACCAAACTATTATTATCAGACCCCAACCAAGACATAGCAAGGAGACTTGCTACTTATTGCTGGCTGGTGGTAAAACGACAATGTCAGTTGAACCCCACAACTAAGTTTAACTTATGTTTTACATTTTAATTTTCTGATCTATGATCCTAATAAAAGGTTTTGAGTTTCTGGATTGGTTTACTTGAGCCAACTGAAAAAATTGCAGAAGGGAGAAAAAGTATAATTACTTTAAGTCCTGCAAAAGAAGTCAATGTGTCTCTCTCACCCCTGTGCCCAAATTACCTGTGGGATCTTGTAGACATTTATGGTTTCTGCCATATAGGATGAGGTATCAGTCTCAAGTGCTCCAATGATGGCCATGAGATTTTTATGGCTGTCACATTTGTAGTTAGGGACAAATTCCTTGGATCTGAAAAGCAGGTCCAGAGTGGTGCGATAGGTCATCCTTGGATTGTAGTAACTGTCATAGATGTGGAATCCAAGAGTGATGTTAGGTAGGATCTGGGAGTCCTCATTGATCTCCTTCACAGCAAAGGCCAAGGCAAGGACGTGCTGGTAGAATTTTGGGATTATACTGAAAATAGGTTAAATACACCTATTCAAAAGCAATTTTACAATTCTTGTAACGTGACATCATTTCTACATGAAAAACATTCTGTCACTGATGGAAGTAGGAAGATGATAGCTTTTCCAAAATGATAAATAATTTACACAAAGTTCAAATATACTTTTTACCTAGTATTTCCAGGATTTGCAACAGATAGTATGTACTACAACAAATGAAAGTGTTAACTTTTTTTTTCAGGCTACCACATTAATTTTCTATCAATTTAGCACAAAATAGAACATGGATAGATTCAGCAAGTGTCACTCATTTACTGTTTCTATGTTTTGTGAGGAGTGATAATGCAGAACATTTTTTTTAGTACCTTAGGCTCACTAAATGTTCTTCAAACACTTATTACACCAAAGTTGCATATATTTTATAAGAAAGATTTACCATAATGTAAAGAAAATTATTTCTTCTCCCACAACCAGATACATTCAAAATAGAAAGGAGACATATTACTTACAAACATCTGCACTTATGTTCATACAGCTTTTACTCATATAAACAATTTTAGGGAATCTGGCTAACATTAGAAAATGCATGAGAAGAAAAGAAATCCTTACAGTGGTAACTGATAAGGTTTTAGAGAAGGATGTTCCTGAAATTGAATTTCATAAAAGTGATAAAGAATGAGAGAAACCATCCCACCAATGATGAGGTCACCAGGCTGGTACCACTCATGTGGGACAGGGAAGGCATCACTTGCAGGACAACTCAGAGTAGCTATTTTGTTCACCAGGTGCCACAGGAGGATCAACATTGTGACTCTTTGCTTATGGAGAAAAGATCTGGGTCTATCATTCAAAGTGAAGTTCTGGCAGATAAGACAAGAGGGAGAGAAGTTGGGGAAATGAACCTCAGAGAGTCAGCATTACCCCCTCCCGCCTCTCTGTGGCTCTAGAAATATATATATATATATATATGGTTTTTTACTTCCTCTTCCCTTCTACACAGAACCTTTGATGTTTTCGTCTACTAGAGTAATAGAGTCATTTCAGTAATTCATAAGGGACATAATTATCATTGAACCATTGGAAACCTGGCAATTATTCTTCATATATCTGTTCAAGATATTTCTCTATTTTGGTTGTCAAAAATAAGTGACTGATGCTTAACTAGTTTTGAAAATACCTGGAAGAATAGAATTAGGAAGGTTGAGATCACAAAATTGCCCTAATTCTAGAAGTCAGAATTTAATTTGATCAAGGGATTAGGGAACTCTATTTCCCTGTAAAGTCTCTGGGGAAATGATCAAACAGCCACTGTCTTGTACAGATTACAAGGTCTCAGTTTGAGAATCCTATAGAAACTAGCTAAGAGGGAAAATTGAAATAGACAATATTTGACCCCCAAAGGGATAAAGAAGAAACACTTGTTCATGGCACAAGAGGAGAGAGGGATATTTGAAAAAGTAAAGTAAAACATGTTTTATGTTTAACTTGTACATGTTTTTTATAATAAGAAAAAGGGGAGTTTTCCCCAAGAACTTATACTGTATATGTGCTGGTCCAGGACCTTTAAGTTATTTTTGTAAATCCCCCCCCCCCCCCCCCC